TCATCATCATCATCATCATGTCTTTTACTTCTTTCAATTATAAAATGTGCAAAGCATATGCTTCTGAGAAGGATTTAAAACATCTTTAAATATGTCCCTTCTTTATTAACTATTTACTCCTTTGTGATACTTGTATAAATCATCCTTATCCACTCTCCTGTAAAAATCTTTACTCCTTTTCAACACACACTCATATATAATTTCATCTGTTTTTCATTGTTTACTAAATAAATTTTAAAATTCTGTAGATGCTTAATAGAAATGTATGGGGATACAATAGTTCCATGTATCTGTCTCCATTTTGTTTTCATTCTTCAGTTAACTAGCTCTCTTCTATGTTTAATTCCATTTATTTCCTGGTACTTTTTCATGTGTTAGTTAATGAAAGAAGATGTCCTTTAAAGGTATAATCTCAGGTGTAATATTTTAGCTGTGAGAGAACTGACAAATGAATTATCTGTAAAGGAATTACCATTAGTCAGCCATTAACATGAACAGAAGTCACTGACCTTTACCTGATGTCCTGGCACTTATATATATATATATATATCCTCTGTCTTCCCATTTGAAAAAAAATGCCTTTCACTGGGGATCTACATTTAATAATTTGAAATATATCATATTCTCTTTTCTTACATTAGGTAAATGGATATACCATGCTTTTTTGAAGCATGGTTTTGATTTGTAGGTCTCAGCGATTTTTACTTATCACTTCTAAAGTGGAGAAAATTCCATGAGTTTAAATCATTGACCAGAGATTGCATTATCTCTTTGCAGAGGAGTTGCATTTTCTAAATTGACTGTGCTGACATTTCACTGGAGACATACAGTGTGCATAATGCATCCTATTTCAATGCAGAATAAAAGCAGCAAGTGACATAAGAATGTAGACTAGGCAAATGTTAATCAACTACCTAATTTCTGGACTTGCAGATTGCCTACCTTCAAATTGCTAAAATCCTGTGATAATCTAATTTATCAATTTTGAATGCATCCTGTTGGAGCTGCTTTTTCATTATAATGCATAGTTTTGAAATTTATGGAAAGAATAAAACCACATCTAACATCAATGAAATGATCTGTACTACCTAAACAGCAAATCCAGAAAGCTTGAAATTTAATAAAATGTGTTTTACATCTGCAGGTCAGACACTAAAGGACAAATTAAGCATTCGAGAGCAAAAGGTTAAAGATCTAGTACCAACTAATGAAATGCCAGGTGTTTATGAAACTTTCTGTCCTATGGGGACAAAAGTATAGAGGAAAGGCAGGAAAACTACTAAACCTGTGAGTAAAACAACATAAACAGGATGCAAAAAGAGAACAGGAAAAAAAATAATAATGAAGTGTTGTACAATATGTGTGGAATCACTCATAATTTCCTCCTGTCAAGATTAAAAAAAAAAAAAAGATCAGTGGAACAGAGGTGTAATGGCTTCTATACATTAGGAAATGTGACTTAAGAAAACCATTATTAAGAATCTTAGTCATTAAAAGCAAAAGTAGATATGAATTAGAATAATACATTTAGGTGCCTAGTTTCCCTGCAAGTCCTTGTTGATTGACAAAAATGACAATTTTGGAATATCCCTCACTCCCCACCCCCAAGTAATATGGCAGTAGTCTCCAATGTTAGTAATATTTCACTCTTTTTTTTTTCCAAAAAGTTTTGGCCACCTAACTCCTCAAATATACCATGTGTTAGAAAAAAAAAAATGAGGGGGCAGCCATCACATAGGAGAATGAGTCCTAGATGAGGGACATTTTTGTTTGCTTGTTTTTTTGTTTCTGTTTTTGTTTTTGTTTTTTTGGTGAGACAATCCGAGTTAAGTGACTTACCCCGGGTCACACAGCTAGTAAATGTGAAGTGTCTGAGGCCGAATTTGAAGATGAGGGACTTTTTAATGAACTTTATGCCATATAAAACTTCATCTGTAGAGTGGGAATCATAATTCCTGCCCTACATATATAACAAGTTTCTTAGAAAAGTCAATGATATAATGTGTGTAAAAATACATTTGTAAGCTATAAAGTACAACAGTAATGTAACAATAATAGAATGGTGATGATGAGGAGGAGGAGGAGGATGATAATGGTTGGACAATTACCCCCTTAATGATAAAGAGGAAGATAAATGAATCATCTGAGGACAAAAGGGGGGTTAAGAAGACACTCTAAGTTGGGAAATTATTGTGATTTAACCTTATTCAAAAAAGGGGAAAAAACTCAAGTCTGTGAGTTTGCTTAGGGGAAAGCCTTTCTAGAGTGTTTAAAATGTGGCTTTAATTTTGTTTTGTGTTTGGCCAGCATGGCATATTGGACTGGGAGTCAGAAAGAACTGGGTTTTACGTCCTACTTATCATTCTGACTGACTGTGACTTGGCAAGCCGGTCTCTCAGTGTCTAAGCAGCTTTGTAAACCTAAATGTTGTATAAAAGTTGCTGATCTGCATTGATTCCCTGGGAGCCCATTATAAGGATGAAATCACAGGTCTTGTTTAAAAATAATATTTTGACCTTAAAAACCTATCTGGTAGTTAATGTAGGCTCCTAGAGAAGAGGGGCTGTCTCACTTGTTTATTTACATTCCTACTATTGCCTCTGTCAAAGCCTAGAAGACAGTATATGAAGGTTCTCTCATAAATGCTGATTGATAGATTGATTGATTAATTGATTGATTGTAATATCCCAGTTAGCCTCCACGTTTTTGAGTTGAACAATGAATTCAGGGTGGCCATTTTAATAAGCAGTACTTTTTCTTCAAAACAAAACAAAAATTTTAACTTTTATTTCAAATAATAAAAATTTATTTTCTCTCCCAACCACTTCTCCCTTGCTTTCTTTGTAAACAAACATACAGATGATCAAATAAACAAACCTTTGTAAACGTGCATAATCAAGCAAAACGAATTCCCATGTTAGCCATGTCCAAAAATCTGTTTTATTCTGCATCTGTAGTCTATCACACAGGAAGTTGCTAAAATGCTTTCTCATTGGTCCTCTGAAATCATGGTTGGTCATCGCACTAATCAGGGTTCTCAGGGCTTCCAAAATTATTTGTCTTTACCACGTTGTTGTAATTGTATAGATTGTTTTCCTGGTCGGGCTCAATTCCTGATCCTGTGCAATTCCTGCTCTTGAGTCAGTTCATATGAACCTTTCCAAGTTTTTCTGAAATTCTCCTTTTCATTATTTCTTTTAGCACAATGTATTCCATTATATTCATATGCCATAATTTGTTCAGCCATTACCCACTTAAAGGGAACTCCCTTAGTATCCAGTTCTTTGCTACTACAAAAAGGAGTTGCTATAAATATTTTTATATATGCAGACACTTTCTCTTTCATTGATTTCTTTGTAGAATAGGCCTAACAATAACATGACTGGGGTCGGTATACACAGCTTAGTGAATTTGGGGGTATAGTTCCAGATTTAAGTAGTTTCATTTCAGACATTTATATTTTTGATATTAATTATGTAGTAATAACAATTCACAATAAAGTAGTATTTTAACATCACAACCAGCCTGTGAAGTTAGTGATAAAAGTATGATTATGCCCATTTTACTTTTGAGGAAATTACTCAATAAGCATAAATAACTTGCCAGAAACCACAGTTAGTGTCAGATCCAGGACTGGATAGCAGGTCCGTGTGGTGCTATTTTCCTTTCATCACATGCGTTCTTCATATAATGTGCAAGAGGGCAAGATAAGGCAGCTTATTGGTTTTGTTCACACCATGAGAAGCAAAACCAAGAATGGAGGTATTCTTCTACTTTGCTCATCTGTGGTATAGCACAGCATATAATGCTTCCTTAATTTTCAGGGTTTCTTCCAGCCTTTATATTTCCACTTCTTTTCAGTGGCAGAGGAAATATCCTGCTTATTTTTCACAAGAAGATACAGAGCACAGTCCACCCACTGAGAGTAAATTTAATTTAGTCCTCTTTCTCCCTCCTGGATTTCCATCTTCTAAGTGTGTTAGAGGGGTAGGTATGTAAACTAAGAAGGCTTCTAGCTCTTTGCTTGTTGTTTTCTCTGAAAGTGAGGTGCTTGACACCGCATGGATTAAACAAAACCCTTGTGTCTAGAAACATTTCATCAGTTTTACAAAAGATAGGTTCACTAGTTTGAATGTTTTAAATGCATTTCAATATTATTTCTTCAAAGGGAATCTTAATGGAGGTACTTTCGTCTATTGTGCTTTCTCACATGTGAACTCTGATTACCATGTCACATTATACATTGGTATGGCAAATATTTCCACAAACTGCATATTTTAAAGTATCACATATACACCACAGTATCAAAGCACATTCCAAAATAAAGGGGGAAATTCAACTTAAAATGTAGTTATCCTTCCAGCTGTGGTTCTCCTCGGTTACAAACCTCCACTTTCAAAGAGCTGTATGGACCTTTGTCCTTGCCATTCTACTTGACATTTAACAAGTAACTCTGTTACAGCTTCCATGTACTCACATACTGTTTTGATCATTTATTTAGTTGTCTTTTATCTAGAGAGAAGTGTTGGTGCCTTTCAGAAAAAAACTGTTCCATCAGACTGTTCATGTGGGCACTTTACTGAGAGCTCATTCTTATTTAACCAGTGGTTATTGATTTCACAATCCAGTTATGGAATTTAGATAGTAGCTTGTGCACCAGGAATTGTTTATTGAATCAATTAATCTACAAGGCAGGTCAATGAGAGAGTCTGTGTTTTTCCTTCTTTTTTTTCCCCACTGTGTTCTGTAAGACTGAAAGACAAACTACTTCATTTCAATCTTGTGGTTAGACTTAATAAGATGCAAATGTGAATGGCTCTCAATAAGGTTTAAGTGGGGCCTGGCTTTTTTTTTGATAGGACACAAAGTAGCCTGTGTGATGACAGACATAAAGGGAAGAGATCTTGCAGGTTCACTGAAGTATAAATATGTAACATGTTTTCATTTGCTTGTAGCCCTCTCTGTTTTTAATTTATTGCCTCCATTTTCCAATTCTGCAGCTGAAACCTGATGAAAGGGTCATCAAAACTGAATATGGGCTGCTGATTCGCAGTTTGCAAAAGAAGGACTCTGGGATGTACTACTGCAAAGCACAGGAGCACACATTCATCCACACCATTGTGAAACTGACTTTGAACGTCATAGAGAATGAGCAAATGGAAAATACTCAGAAAGTGGAGCTCGAGGAGGGACGGGGCAAGGATCTGCTAGCTGAGTCCCGGCTGAGGTATAAAGACTACATGCAAATCCTCAGTAGCCCCAACTTCAGCCTGGACCAGTACTGCGAACAGATGTGGCACCGGGAAAAACGGAGGCAGAGAAACAAAGGGGGCGCTAAATGGAAGCACGTGCAGGAGATGAAAAAAAAACGAAATCGGAGGCATCACAAGGACCATGAGCAGCTTCCCAGAGCTGTGGCCACGTAGTCCTCTTAGCTGCAAAAGCAGTGACACTCTTACCTACAAAAGAAAAATGCTGTGTTCTATCTTTAAGACTTGTGCATAGCCTCTATTCAAGGAGATTTGCTAATGCACAATAACAGTAATCTGGATGAGGCTGTAATGGGAAATACAGGTGCCTAGGGGGAATTTAATAATTTAAAACCATTTTGTTCTGAACTGACATGATAAATTCAAGAGTCCAGAATCCCTGATGAATTTGGGAATTTCTTTTTCTAATATTTTTCCTAGTTTTTTTTTTTAATTTAATTAGGTCATAAAGATAAATGAGCTAAGTCCAGTTGAATCATTATCATATTTATAGTGGTTCATTTTCCTTGGGTATCCTTTAAATATGTCGGTTTACTGTGCATTAGCGCATGTTGCTGTGAACAATTCATTCTACTCTTCAGCTAACTGTGTCATGGTGGTGAGTAGAATAATTGCACAGCACACAACAATTCACATTACCAGTAAGATCTTCCCAGTGAGTCAGGCACTGCTGGAGCATATGTTCGGGATTTAGGGAGGTGCATTAATTCTTCCAGGCCACTAAGGGTCCATTTAGTGCAGTGGAGCTCTGATTTACTAAAGGGTATAAATATACCTCCCAGGATTCCTAGCTCTTAACAGGGAAGAGCCAGGAAGATATGCGATTTTAGAACATATGTTCATGTATATAGGAACAGAATAGTTGAGGAACTGTCAGAACATAAGGTGCTAGCTATTTAATAAAATAAGAGAATGAATGTGAAATATCAGACAAAAGAAAAACATTAAATTATCTCCAATGTTCTAATGTGTAGGTATACAAATGGGATTTGCAAGCCGACAGAGAAAAATACAACCAAAATTTTTTGGCTTCAGGGGATATCCATTTCCCCACTTTAAAAAAAAAAAAGAACAATCACAAATTAAATGGGAGAAATGTAATGGAACTTTATTCACTAGGGCATGAGTAGTTGCCAATTTGCAATCCATCTGCTAAAATGAAATGTAACGTAAAACAAACTGCCAGCATGATACTGAAGAGTACATCTTCTAGTTGATTATGGAAAGGATGAACACAAATTTTATTAACAAACAATGGGATTCCAGTGTATGCTTTCCTCTGTTCCTCTAAAAATTTACCATACTCTGCTCATTATTTCAACTTATTGCAATAGTTCTTCCTTTTTTCCCTTTTTTAGGTTAGGTTATATTTAAAAGTAGGCAAATAGGAAGAGTTCCAAAGATGATAATAGAGGGTTAGCTAAATATTTGGTGGTTGGCAGAACCAGTGCACAAAATAATAACAAACGGAAAGGGTTAAAGTAACTCTTTGACATTTTTTTCTTTTACAGCAGCCTTTTGTATCTAGAATTATGTATTGTAATTCAAGCAGAATTATCCTGATTCTTTCTTTAATATAAATAAAATGTCTGTGTGTAGATACGTAAAATTATAAGTTTGTGATGAGCAGGTTTTAATGTTTTCAATAGCATTCTTTAAAATTCTTCTTTTTTGCTTTCCTTTTTGAATATGCATATATGCACATGTCTTTTTGTAGAAGACATACCTTTTCTTCTTCTAATTCACAACCACCCTTAGCCAGCCTGTCTCTGTTTTGCCTTTTCACGCCTTTTTGGGTGTGAAATGAAAAATTAGCCACTTCCTTCCATGGAAGAAGGCTTTGAATGAGTACACAAATGACAGACTTTGCTTCTTTCTCATGCATTTGACACATCTTGAGAGGAAACCTGTGGGAAAGCTATATGATTGAAGGATATCTCATGAGGACTTGAACCTAGAGTCTATAATTTTGGCTCTATGCTCAGGAAATTTCCTCTATCCCATCCTCATTTCTCTCCTTGATTACCTATCTCATATTTACCATGCCTTTGTATGAGATCACATATTGTATTTCCATACATATGCTCACATATTTGTGGATGTGTTCAATGCAGCCTAAATTTTTTTTTTAGCAAAGCTCAGAAATAGAAGAAAACCAAAATCAATTATCCTTTATAGTTACAAAAAGAATGAAGGCAGTCACTTCTAAGAATTGCTGTTAATAAATTTCATAACAAGTTTTTTGTAATTGATAAATTTCTGGGTTGAAGTTTTCATGAGTCACTTCTAGGCCAAGAGCAAAAATGATAACAAATTTAATTTTTTTTGGATATTCCAACATAGTTTATTGACAGCAACAGTTAAAATTGTAGAAGGCTGTGAGAAATATATCTTTAAATGTTAAGGTTAAATAAATCCAATTAGTAGTTAAAAACAATTAATTTGGCTTAATTCAGAAAGAAAAGCTACTGAATCTTTCTTTAGTTATGGTTAAATGCTCCTGAGGGTATTTTCTCAAGATGGCGAGAATGAGAAATGGTACATAAGGATATAAAGAATAAAAAGGTTTCAAATGTGTTTATTTTTGGTGGCTAGTCAAAATACACTGGAAGTGTGATTAGTAAAATATAAATGCCACATAATATATAACCATTAACTCATTGTTTGTAGAAACTTTCAGGCTATTGAGATGCTCTATCAAAGAATACTGAATTTAGCCAACACTAGTTGGGTTCAACCATGATAACATGTATATATGTAATATATTTATGTGTGCATATAGACAGATAGATATGATTAAATGTCCTTACCCTTTAATTATCTAAAAAAAGTATAGATGATTCATTTTCATACATAGAATTTATGGCAACCAACATCCTTTACCACCAAACTTTTCCTTAGAGCTGCTATCAAACAGCTTGACTGATCAATCTACATTTTTACCTCTTTCCCCTTCTTTTAAAATGTTAGTTCCTGTTAAGCAAAGGAATAGACAAATATGAACAGGAAAGGGAAGAAGAAGAAGCAATATCACAAACCTCCGCAATTAATTGACTGAAAATAATGTGGTTTTGATATGCCAATAAAATACTCCCATGTTGCTCTGAAGTACCTGGGAGCTGACGATGGGTTTTCAAAGAGAGTATCTATGCATTCTTGAAGGTTGGACCAACTTGGAAAAAACTTTTGAGTACAAGCCTGGCTGATGATAAGTTTTATATCTGTTGTCTGAGAAAACCACTTGGCTAAGTTCGGAGATGATTATCATCAGAGGGTTAGCCACAAGGTGTGAGAGGGAAGACCATAGCAAGTCATTAGACAGTAAACTAAGACAAGGAGACATTGTAATCTGCATGTGGCAAGGAGCATTTCCACCTTTGAAATTATGGAGTCTTGAAGTAAATATAGATTTGCAATTTGAAACTATAAGAAAGAGTGTTGCTCTAGAGTCTAGATTATAAGCTACTTTTTTTTCTGAGCACCATAACATTTATTTTGTATTTTCCATAAGTAATAAGGCGCATTTCTAGTCACAGTCAGTAGTTAATCAGCAAACACCTACTGAAGACTGTACATTTCTTTAGTCTCTTCACAATTCTCTCACAAAGTCGGAAAAAATAATCTATTGGTTTATTTATATTTTAAAAACTATCCTGGCTTTGTTATTTCCTACCTATGTTGCTGTGGGCAATTTCATCTTTGAGCTTTCATTTCTTCATTTATAAAATGGACTAGGTGACCTTTAAGGTCCCTATCAGCTCTGTACCTATTATCCCATCATCCCAGTTCAACTGAATCTGTTAACCAGATTTATTGTATCAAGATGCTTAATTGCACACAGACTTAAAGCAATTAATTCTAACACCTACTTTCTCTGTAAAATTTCATATTCAAATCTTCCCAAATATAAAAAGAGAAAAAAGATATCATAGTCTATAAATCTGGTTATTTTATAATGGTAATTTGCATTTATATAGTGCTTGAAGATTTAGAAAGCACATGCTTCACATGAAGGTCTTAGGAGAGGATGAATTGTTCATCCCATTTTACAGATGAGGAAATAGAGTCTCAGAAAGGTCTAAGAAGGAACCAACTCGAGTTTTAAGTCTAGGTCTCCTGATTCCAAGTCCAGTGTCCTTTCTGCCTTACTATGCCAAGCTTCCTTTTCTAGTAAGCATTCATTGTCACAGAATAACATGTGACCTTAGAGGATATAACTTATCCTCCATTCTAGAGATTCTCAAACTTGTTGGTCTCAAGAACTCTTTCCACTCTTAAAATTATTAAGGACCCTCCCAAAGAACTTTGGTTTATGTCAGTTATATCTATTGATATTTACCATATTAGAAATTGAAATATCTTAGTATTATTATAAAAAGTTTTGACTTCCTGGACCTTGTTGAAATGGGGGGAGGGAGGGGTAGGGAGAGGTCTCTAGGCCATACTTTGAGAACTCCTACTCTATACCATTATTTTCCAAAGCATTGTCCTAGACCCTAGAAGGACATTTAATCAAAGTTAAAGAAAATCAATTTCAATATGCTAAATGACACTGGATGCCAATGACAGCGAGCTGGGCCCTAAGAATCATTCAATCCCAGTTCTATTATATGTAACCATTTTACTATTTTAGGTTAATAAGCTAAGGGCCTAATTGTGTTGTAAACATTCATTATTTCATTAACAGGAGTAAACAACCATACTAGAATCTTAATCCCATATGGTGCTATGCTGGCAATAAAACAAGCTTGGGTTTGTTCAGGGCTCCTATCCAATGTACTATATTTATGTCCATACTACACCTCACAGCATCATCATCAACATACTGTATTTCAAATATTGAGTATGTACCCTCACACAGACCCTGAAGATAGTTTTGATATCCAAGATTGGGACTGTTAGTGTTTTTCTATGAAGATTACATGTATGTTTAGCATTTAGGACAATGTATATCTCTAATAGAACCTGATGAAAATAGATATTTCGGACCCAAATGACTATTTAGTAAAATGACACGAAGCATAACTGATACTTAATGTGTTATGAAACAAAACTGATGCTTTTTGTAAATTGAGAAATCTGTAAAAGCCCTAAGACATGTGATATTTCAAATAAGCAATCATCTATTGTCAGTTATCTTCAGTAAATATTTAATAATCACAAAATATAACATAAAATCTATGTTGTAAGTTGTTTTAGGTCATACTATATTGGCAAAAGTAAGTAAGTTATTGAAGGTGAAATGCATATTGGTGATGAAATTTCAAAATTACAATGCTGTTTGCTCTTATTTTTGTGTAATCTTGCAGTTAGTACAATTTTAAATGAGCCCTTATATTTTTTGCTTCATGAATTTAACACGTTCCAGGTAACTTTTATAACATTTGAGGGCCATTATTTAATACTTTCAAAAATGCATATCAGCGAATTCATTTCTCTTTTCTGAGACTGGGGTCAAGCAAGCATATCTAGATTCATTGTTGGAGTTTCATATTCTTCTCCTTTGTACTTTACTGCTTTTGCATTTTCTTGCTGCTCTTATTCACATAACTTATGCTGCTAAATGGCATCCTGCCTGAGACTTTTTCGGATCAGTGTGCATTCAATTTAGGGAATTTTATAAAGACAGTTTGCTTAGGAGAGATACTTTGTTGGAATTTGAATTTATGTGGTACCTTAGTTCTGAGAAACCCAAAGCACAATGCTTAACACAATTTTAAAACATTCCTGATAAGCAGCCACAATTTTCTTTAAGATGGGTAAACCGTGACCCAAAGATTGAGGGATCTGCTAAGGTTACATCATTTGTCCCAGAGTCAGGATTTCTGACTGTTTGCTAAGTAATACAGGCTATAAGAACCTGCCTCATAAGTCTCTCCTAGAGCCCTTAGAAGTATGTCCCATAAGGCATACAGGCTTAATATTTAGTAAGTTATTAGGGACCCAATTTTAAAGATTATTTAACATTTTGCAAGTGTCCTTTTATCCATCATCAAAAATAAACTATTCAACACCTATTAATGCCATTTGACTCATCAAAATAACACATTAATAAAACATTTTGATGTTTATAAAGTATAAATGAAATTGAAGTATAATCATTATACTCTGGATTTCTAATGCTTCAATAATATTTGAATTAATCACTACAAAGTCACATTTATGCTTAAATAACACTCTACAATTCAACTGTTCAGTTTTCATAGGGAAAGATGGTTCCCCCTGCTTCCAGTAAATTACTAAAGCACATATATGCTGTGTGTGTTTTGGTATTGTGCATTTCTATCTTTGTCCTCCTTGGAATATATGCCTGGTAATGGGTCTTCCGGGTCAAAAGTCATTTAGATACTTTTTTTTAGCATGGTCACAAGATATATTTTGATGGAGAGAAAGAAGATGTTTTAAAAGTTTCTCTGGTTCCACTTAGTAACAAATCACAGACAAAAAAGAAAGCCGGAAAATAAAAAGGAATACCTCACATATGATGTTTTTTGTAGGAATAAGTATTTATAGAACAATTTGAGGTAAATATTTGGTGGGGGAGGGACTAGAATCTGTAAGTTATCATAAGTAATCAAGTAACATAATTCCTGCATTTTAAGTGGTTTACAATCTGTTTTGTACTTACTTTTGCTAACAAAGTGAAGATCTTGTAGTCTTAAAAAGAATCACAACTGTTAGATGTCAATTTTGGCTGTATTATAATAAAAGGCAAATATTGAAATAGAGTTCTAAGATTACAAAAAAAGTTTGTTGGTATTTTTATATGTTTCACTTTCAAAACCCAAATGCTGTATGGGAGAGTTTTGAATCAAATGCCTAGGAACAATATTCCAGATTTCTGTATTAAGGTCCAATTGTTAAAAGATATGTTACCTGAAAAAAGTTATGATATATAATGGAGAGTTTATAGTGCATAGTTAAAAAGAAATAAACACTCATCTCATGAACTTCTACAGGAGAATTTTCCTAATATAATTAATGGAATGGAATTTTTTGAAAAAAAAATACTTTTACTAACCAAATAGTCCTCATGCAATTTAAACCATAGCAAATTATTAAGAAAATATTAACTTTACCTAACAATATTCTTTGAATAATATTATATCATCTTCTAGCATTGAGACATTTAAGATCTTGATTGTATTTGACTGGGGGGAAAACAGCAAATATTTAGGTGAATCATCTCCTTCAACTAAGAGACCTGTTAGTGTAATAGTCATAGAGTTGAGAACTAGCCTTGGAGTTTAAATGCACGCATTTCAATTAGAACTGATGCACAGTGACTGAGAGACCTAACCAAATCAGTTTACTTTTTACTTGTCCAAGCAATTCCCTAAAATTCTCCAGTAGTCCGTGTGTGCCTTTAGAGGAGTCTTTCACACAGTGAGTTCCCTTCATTATATGAAATCACAGGTCTGAGCAAAAATTCTGCTTCCCATACAAAAAAACAGGTAGTTACAAAACAATTCATTATAAAATTCTACATCCAGAACATAGAATAGAATTTAATTTGAAGTGCAACCTTTGATTTGGAAGAGTTGTGGGTGATTATGCTTTGGTGTGTTACTTCATTTCTCAGAAGTGGAAACTGAGGCCCTAGAGAAAAGACATGACTAATCCAAGATCATAAACACAAATGATGGCTGAATCCCCAACTCCTGTACCCCCAGTTTCAGTATCAGGAGTTTCAGCTTCTGCTTCTAGAAAAGCTATTGGGGGGGGGGGGTTGTGAAAGAAATAGAGACACTTGGAACATTCAGGGGGGGGGGAAGGGAAAGGCTATGGTTTGGGGGGGGGTTGAGGAGGGAGTGACATGGAGGGAAGAGAGTTGGGGGAGGAAACATTTTAGGTCAGTCATTTAAGAACAGTTTCTCAGAACTGGCCTCTCTATAGCAAAAATATTTTCCCCCATCCTGTCTGAATTTTCTTTTTCACTTTGTTTTGCTGCTAGAACTTCAAATGCGAAGAGAGTCACTAGGGTTGAAGGAAATTATAAAATTTTAAAATTATATTGATAGAATTTCCTTTAATATCATCTGCATTTTCCAATATTACCCACACCTTCCTCTTTCCATAGAGTATCACTTTTTAAAAATTTTTTTTAATTTTAGACAAATGCTAAAACTTAAATACATAATAAGAAAAGAAAAACACAAATATTAAAGTTAAATATAAAATAAGAAAAAAACATGTCATGTGCACAGCAGAACATTGAGAGGATTCAAAATATATAGCAATGACTTTTCATTTCAAGAAAGCCTATATATTAAATATTGTGCATTATGTTGAAAGCTGTCCATCTTTTCTTTGTTTCCTTGTAGGTTTTCTTTTGTTCTCTACTGTACACTTTTTACTTCATTCTTTTTTCCCCCTGTCTCCCCCCTACCCACCACTCCAAGGCTACAACTGAGCTTGGATATATTTATATATAGGTATTGATATATACATACATGTATACATATATACCCATACATACATATATAAACATATGCTTTCCCTAAGAGATTCTAATCCTACTCTTAGTTTGTATGTTTGTGCATATCTCTTTTTTCCTATCCCTCCTAACTCCTCTACTTTATTTCTACCAGCTACCTTACACTCTTACTATTTAACCTACCCCCACTCCTTATCCATCCCTTATCCTCTTATTCCCCTAAATCTAAATACCTTTCTATCCCCCTTTTAGCCTATTCCCTCACCTTCCCCTCTACAGGGAGCAATCTATCCCTTATCCTCCTGTTCCCCTAAATCTAAATACCATTCTATATCCCTCTTTTAACCTATCCCCTCACCCTCCTTTATCCAGTTATAAAGAAGACCCCAGACTCAGTTCCAAAGACTGGTGTCTCAAAGACTTTTTATTGAAGGGGTTGAAGTGTGTCCTTTCAGTTCTCAAGAGAAGTGGGCACACCTCCTTTGAAGGAGAGAGTGCGCCAAGTACAGAAGCAAGAGCAAGCTTTATAGTTAGTAATTGCCTAACTCTTCCCTTCTGGATCAGGATTGGTCCTGATCCTTCTGGGTTACAATACTCCTTACAAGCCCCACCCTTAACATACATTATGTGCCCAGAATTGTGTTGTCACTCCCCCCCGGACAGAGAAGTTAGACTGTCTGTGCTGATTTCTTATCTACTTATGTGGAAACTTAATTCTTTTATTATATATATATATATATATATTATATAATATTTATTATATATTACATAATATATAATATAATATAATATATTATATTATATATATATATATATGTAATTCTACTTGAATCCATTCCCAATGAAAGTAGGTTTCCAGAACTAACAGCCATCCTCCAATCAATTCCTCTGTATTGGTTCTTCCTCTTGCACCTCATTTGTAAAAGATAATTACTCTTTTAACTGTACTTGAATGGTTTTACTTTTTGAAGTCATATAATACTCAAATCCACCCCAATCTTTCTTATGTTACCTAATTACTAGTAACAATCTTAGAGATAGGTTTTACATCTTCCATACATAAAAGGTAGACATTCTATCCTTATTTAGTCTTTTGTAATTGGTCATTGGTATGTACCTTATATTTCTCTTGGCTATTTTATGTCAAATCTTCTATTGAATTCAGAGTTTTGTTTTTTTTGTCTTTGTTTTTGTTTTTGTTTTTGTTTTTTAACAAAGTCCTGAAAGTCTGACAATTGATCAAATGTTCTTTTTTTTCCCCTCATTCAGAATTATGCTTAGCTTTGCTGGGTATGATATTTTTGGCCAGTAGGTCAGTTCTTTTCATATTCTTGTTTTTCTTGTATTATTTTTCTTTTTTTTTCCCCAATCTGTCTCATTTGATTTTTAATTCTTTTTGGGCAGGTGACCATTTGACATTACTCTTTGGGGTAGAAGAGGGTTTCTTTGCTTCAGTATCCTCCTCTGAAGATAAACTCTGATCTTCTCTATTCCCATAGTAGCTCTCTATGGCAACTTTGCCTGTGCATTTTCTTTTGTAATAATTTAGCTTTTACAATTGCCTCTAGTGCTGGGGTATGGGGGATGGTGCCTCTGGCCTTTGATCTTGAACTCAAAAACCAAGACTTCCAGCCTCCTGTAAGTGCCCACAGCCAGCAGAGTCCCGTTCCATTTCTTCTGTACTCACCCAACTTGTGCTGGTTCCTTCTCGCCCCATCCCTGTCTCTGCAGCACAGCTGGGTCTGGTTTTCCTAGTTAGCAGAGGTTCCCCAGAGCTTCCCCAGGTCAGAGGCCCAACTCTCCTCACTGTCCCAGGGGTAAAAGTCCCTGTCTGGGGCAGAGGCAGCCTCCCAAACCAGCTAACCCCAGGGCTTGTTTAAGCAGCCTGGAGGTGTTTACTCTTCACCAGGAGGAAATCTCATCCTGGGATTTTTCTTCTGATCTCCAATTGTCCAGAGAGGACCCCTGCTCTGCCCCTACTCTTATTTGTTTTCATGGTTCTGTGTTTGCGCCCCCCCCCACCCCATATGGGCTATTTTGTGGATGAAAATCTTGAGAGCTTGAAATCTTCTGACCTACTCCACCGTCTTCCCAGAATCCTCTGAGTATCACTTTCAATTTACAAAAAAAGTACGGGGAGAGACGATTTTTGCTGAATTTTGATTGAGGGAGCGTAATTGTGGATCCTAAGGCTGGCCTAGGTGGGGTACCACAATGAGCAGTTGAAGACATTAGAAAGTGAATGAGGGTGGGGGTGTTGTGGACTAGAGAGAAGCACATAGGAACAGGAGAGGGACATAGAAAGGGAAATTGGGAATCACTCAACAAGAATGTATTAACTTCCTACTATGTGCCAAGAAAGACACTAAGTGCTGGTTATACAAAGAAAGGTAAAATCATAGTCCCTACCCTCAAGGAGTTAATATTCTAATGGGGAAGACAACATGCTTATATCTATGTATGGTTGGGGGTGGTCAGGGAGTGTAGAGAAATGCCTATTGCAAAATGTAGGATATGAGCTGTCTACCAAGAAAGCCAGGAAATGGAGATGAACAAGGATCTACGTATGAAGGACAGCCAGTGAAAAGAAGTGGAGTCAGGACATAAGAGTCTCATGAGTGAGGAATAAAAAAAAAAAGAAGAAGAAGAAGAAGATAAATTTACCTATTTCAAAAAAATAGTTTATGGTGTGCCTCATGTCCTGGGTGGAGATTTTCTTCCTCCTCCTCCTCCACTCTCCACTACTCCAGCTCCCAGGCTCTAGAATTCAGGGTAGTACGATCACTATAATAGTACAACTATATTATGAGTTATTTAAATAGGCTAACCTAAAAACTTTGTTCTGTTTGTTCTGACTATGCCTTTGATATAAATATTCCTTTCTTTACTATTGTTAAATGATTAAAAGGGGTGTTGAGCCCCTAAATTGGTGGAGGCTTGAGATAATATCACAGATGAGAGACCCTAACCCCCAGCTCCCTAAGGGTACCAGAGAACCCTGGGAGAAGGGTTGAAATGTAACGCAATTAACCTTAAGGCAATAGGAGCCAGAGTAGTCACTGTTAACACATGTAAAATTTTTTCAGTGTCAACAGATTTTCTTCTTAGCCTAACTGCATTAATTTTGTTTTGTAAAAATGGTTTCATTTTGTGTAATCAAAGTTGTCTATTTTTTGTGATCTCCTTTATCTGTTGTTTAGTTAAGAATTTTCCTCTAAGATAGGGTCATGAAAGAAGCCTCCATTCATTTTCCACCATCATTTGATCATGTGACATGTTATATATAAGCTGAGTGTCCATTAGGATTTTATTGTCATTTGTGGGATAAGATAATAGTCTAAACTTTTTTTTTTTTACCATGTGGCTTCCTAGCCTTCCAAACAGTTCTTATCAAATAGTCAATTCTCCTTAAAAAAATAAATAAGAAGTTATATTCTTATCCACAATTGTTCTGCAGCTTATTGCCC